AAGAACATCATGACAATAGCAACTTCCTGGATCCAAAGCTAAAAACAGTAATTTCTGGTATGGCATAATAGAATGTTCAAAGAATTGCAACAGCCTGAAATGAGTACTAGTAGCCTCGGTGCTCATCTACCTATTGAGGACCATCATCCTGATGAGAGCTGCCAGCATAAAGTGATAAGGCAAAAGTCATTAAGAAAGGTGAAGTGGTTGCAGCTTGTACTCCAGTGACTTGCATTAAACGAAACATTTAAACTCCAATTGCTGTATCTTTGGAGAGCCTAACATGAGTGTTACTGCACAATGTACGACTAAGCAATGGAGAGAGGAATGCTGTAAACCATGCCATTCAAGAATTTCAAGATGTTTTCTCCCTGCCCATCTTCTGATGTAGGTAGAATCAGTTTGGCACAGAATAAAATTAATATGGCAGGGTTGCCACGCAACCTAGAAAACCAGGAAAAGTCAGGGAATTCAAAAATTGATCAAAACTGTCAGGGAACTTAAATATTTTAGTTAAAATCTGGAAAAGTCTGAACTTCATACAGTGATCCCGAAAAAAGCGATCACTTTCTTGAAGAATTATGAATGGTATGAGCATCATTTGGACAGTTGAAGTAGAGCCAATTTTCGCAGCTCCAACCAGATTGTCTTCAGTCAGAAAGGCAAAGTAGGTTTCCAGCAACTTTGGCTCAGATAGAGTAATCTCAAAAATGGAGAGACTCGCATGTGCAGTGCATGTTGAGTGAAAGAAAATGCCTACCCATTCTCGTATAAAATAAAATCAGTTTAATGCTAGTATATGGTACACACAGGATTTGGCGACATTATGATGAACAATAAATGGGTCATTTTGATGTTGGTGACAGTTTTCAAAATCATACCAAGTCCATACTGTAAACTAGAATTTTATCACAAAAACTTATAAACTTTTTTTTTTTTTTTTTACTTTCTTGAATGAAGTAAAGGAAATATTGTAATAACAAAAAATTCTGGGTATCGTATTTCATATATGAAAATATCCATTTTGACAGCTATTGAATGCAATTTAATGATGTTTTTGCATGACATCTGTACGTAAGGATAAAGGACTCTTTTCCCCCCAAAAAATTATAAAATTAATTTAAAATGAATTCTGAAAATTTTTCCGTGGCGTCTGTGCATACGTACGTATGTATTTATCTCGCATAACTCAAAAACGAGTAGACTTGGAACATTGAAATTTTGTATATAGGACTGCTATAACTTGCAGTTGTGCACCTTTCTTTTCGGTTGCAATCAGCCATACTAAAACTATTTATGTACCCACTCTGTTACTCAATTCCCTGAGCTCTTTTTTTTCCTTATATGTTGGTAAATTGCACATTTTTTGCTTTAAAAATGATTGAATTATATTTTTCTTATCTTCCAATTAAGGTTTTTATGCCTTTAGTTAATCTGTCTGCAATAGATTCTCCCACCCAGTGGTGACTCTAAACTCCTGCATACTGCTATCCGTCTCTTACCTAAATTTAAATAATTTTGCTACTTAATGTGGATACCGTAGCTTTGGCACTGGCCCTATCCAGTTTTAGATCGAGTTACAAATTCAACATTCTGATATAGATCCCTGGTATGAAAAAGAAGTTGGGAAAGACCAGTTGGAAGAGGATGATCGCAAACCCATAATTGATTTAGTTCAGTCTTCAAATAGGAAACCTACCTGGCAGGTCATTGCAATCAATAATTCTATGACAAAACAATATTAGGCTCTCTGGGGATCATTGTATATTTGAATGGTGTCTTGTACCAGAATTTCAAATTGGATGATGGAAAGGCATTCTAATGGCAGCTGATATTTCAGATCCAAAATTTCCTCAAAGAACTACATAGCAATCCAAAAAGAAGCCACTTTGGAATAATGAAAACTTTATGTAGAGTTGGAAAATGCTTCTACTGGAATAAAATGAGGATTGATGTGCAAAACTGGTCCCATTCGTGCGATGCATGTGCGGGTTAGAAAGAATGAAAGAAGTGCTGCTGAGGGAAGGTGCAACACTGCATTGTAGTGCAACGTTTGATTGCATTGCCTGGGACCTCTGTCACAAATTGTGGATGTCAACAAATAAATTCTCATTGTAATTGATTACTTTACAAAGTGGTCTGAAGTATATCCTATGTCTTATCAAGAGGCTATCAAGGTGGCAGAGGTAATGATACAGCATTGGATTTCGAGGTTTTGTCAGTTACATTCTAATCAAGGAAGGAATTTTATCTTGGTTGTAATTAAAGAACTGTGTAAAATACTTGCCATTAACAAAACTCAAAAAACACCTTTACATCCACAGTCAGACGGCATAGTAGGCAGCTTTAATCGAACTGTCCTTAACAACTTTTCCCTGATGGTTTCTAGAAAGCAATAGGACTGGGAGCAGAAGTTATTTTTGTTCTTACTGCCCTATCACAGTATTGTCCATAAGACTACTGGCTATTCCCAATCCCAGATGTTCTTCAGTTGTTATCATTGTCTGCCTTATAATCTGTTGTTAGGTTGCCCTCCAGATGTGCCTTCTTTGCCTGAGTAGTACATTCAAGGTCTCCGTGCCGGGCTTGAAGTGATGCATAATTTTACACAAGAGCGAGTCAACTTGGTGACGGAGAAGATGAAGACCCCATGTGACACAAGAGCTATAAGACATCAGGTCAACTAAGGTGTCAAGGTGTAGCTATGGAATAATTACCCTGGAATGGTCCTTATGCAGCCCTAAGCAGGCAGAATGATGATGATGTTCAAATCCATAAGTCATCAAATTCTAAGCCTAATGTCATTCATTTCGATAGGCTAGCCCCTTACACATAGTGTATAGTATAATGTAAATAGCATACAAAGACTATGGTCCTTTGTGTATATAAATTTGTAAGTTCGTGCCTTTATTTATCGATTTAGTATCTTATTTATTGAAATCATTATTTTAATATTGCATTGATTTTCCTTAATTGTAAGTATGTCTTTCTGTACAGGAATTGTACTGCCCTGTATGTGCAGTTATTGTGAACTGGGCAATAATACGAATTTTGTATATATGTAAATAATTTTAGTGAACTTATATGTAACTTGTGATATTTCTTGTACAATGCAACATGAAAGGCCTCAGAATGTTCAGAGTGGGAAGCATCACCAGAAAAACAGGGTTTAGTACGATCTCTGTGTAACTGTGATCCCTATGTAACTGTAACCGACCTTATATAAACTGTAGCTGTGTATGCCTTCTAGCAATTTCGAAAAATCAAAGATACTAGAAATTTTTCTGCGGCCAGAGAAAAGTTACGTAAGTTTTTAGTGTAGTTCATTGTTGAGCTCAGAGTATCGAGAGGTCACTGTGTGAGTTTACATATTTGAGGCTTTGGATTGCCTTGTTTTCAGCATTCTAAGTACTTTGAAGTGGTAACTACTGATTGTGCTTTGTCATACTGAGAAGGGCTGTTTGATTACTTTTGTGTGAACAGTTCCAGAAATGTAAAATGGTTTTTGAAGAAATAAATTTCATCAAGTTGTTATCAATTCTGTGTGCATTCATCCATTATGAACCTTACATACATAACAATGTATATATTTAAAGAACTAAAATTCTTAAAGTCTGAAACATGTGTATACTTAATCTGGGCCATATAAAATTAGAGTTGGTTTTTGTGAGATGTCAACAATATTTTATATTTTTCACCCATTGAGAGCAGGAGAATAAATAAATAAAAAATAAAATGAAAATTTTGTATACTCATCCCTGAAACATTATGGCTAATCTGTTAATCATAAAGCAACACAGCTTATATTGCTTGCACATACATAAAAATGACTAAATATTCTTTTCAATTAGTAAGTTGTTATCTTAATCGAGTAAGATCCCATGGAAGAGCTTTCTGATTCATACATCAACAATTTGCGATTCATATCCATGTTCTTAATTGCAAAAAAAATACATTCAATATTGATAATAATTATGATCTGTCTTAATAACCATTATATCCTCTTTTATTGATATGATCTTTTATCACGCGAACTTGTGGGCTGTATACATATGGGTATTCATCATGCCGGAAATCATGACCATGAATTAAATCTGTCACATATGTCTTGTAATGCTGTTCTTTATATCAAGGGTTGGGAACCTTTTTTACTAGGAGGACATATTTAAAAAAAGTGCAATAGTTCAGCAGGCATTGTAGATATGAAGTATCTCTGTACGTTGCATTTTTTTAGCAGTTGTTACAGTTGAATTGCATAATAAGCATATACATTTTTTTCTTGTTCTTCCCATTCAACATTAAAATTATTTGTCTTCTGTATTTTATTTTTTCTTTTCACAGTGGTGCTCTGCTTGCAGCTCAAAATAAAAATTTATGAAATGGCAGGCTATTTAAGCAGGTGTATGAGATTAATAGTTCTCTCAATACAGAATATGAGTCAAAACGAGAAAATAGTTCAGTGTATGCAGAATAACATGTTTCTATTAGTTGAGAATAGATTCATCTATTCATGTAATGCTATTTTCATGTTGCTAAGATTCAGTTTTTATCAAAAGTTTAATTGCACAACTTGTGTAATTGTTAAAATGGAAAGATAAATAACTTTTTAAAAAATGATACATTAAAATTACAAGTGTTTGTTGTCCAAATATTTAACATATAGAATTAAGATCTTTGAAAGGTGGCCATTTTGATGACTATGGACTCTGCATTGCCGACCACTGCTGTAGATTGTTTAGATGGGAGATCCTCAGTTTATTTCTTTACTCTTAAATGTGCCGAAAATTTATTAAGCTTGTTAAGCAGTAGTCTGATAAATTGTGTTATTTAAAATTAGCTTTAAGTTATTAAATAAAGTATTTTAAAATTATTTTATTTAATGTTATCCTTCCATTTTATCCTGTGATATTTTTTAAATAATAAATTTGTTTTGATTCTTTTTACGAAACCATTACTGATGATTTTATAGTAATTGTTACTGAGGTAAATTAATTTTTCAGATGGCTCCTTTACAAGTACAAGTTGTAAACAGGATATTGGGAAATCAGATAATAATCTAAATGGTGAAAGTCTTGAACAAAGAATACGAAAAGAACTTGTTAATATAGGTAAGGAAAATGATTTTCACTCAATCGGAATGCAAGATTCTATACTGACTTTCATATTGGTTTCTTTTTACTGTTTTTTTTTTTTTTTTTTTTTTTTTTTTTTTTTTTTTTTTTTTTTTTTTTTTTTTTTTTTTTTTTTTTTTTTTTTTTTTTTTTTTTTTTTTTTTTTTTTTTTTTTTTTTTTTTTTGTTTTTTTTTTTTTTTTTTTTTTTTTTTTTTTTTTTTTTTTTTTTTTTTTTTTTTTTTTTTTTTTTTTTTTGTTAATGGAATTTTTGATAATCACTGCCTTGATTTGTAAAAATAATCTTTCATTCACTCTAAATAACTAAATCATATCTCAGTAAAGACTTTGACATCCATTTTTCTGTAAGTTATGGTTACTTTGCACCCCCCCCCAAAAAAAGATTTTTTTAACAAAATCAAATTACTTCTTTGATTTTTATTTAATCTTTATTCCTCTTTGAAAATATTATGAGATTTGTAGCATTTGGTTGCTTCATTATAAACAGAATCATTAATTTTTACACATTATTTTTAGTTCTTTACCAGTAGCAGTAAGACTTAAATGAGAATGTACTTAATGTTTTGATGTCCCATTTTTCTAAAAATTTATACAATGAATTCAGAATAAAACATTATGCAATAATATAAGTTCCCAAATATTATGAGTCTTATCCATTAAAGAATCAAATGACTAATGTTAATTCATAAGTTCTTAATATAAAACAAAAATTAATATAAAGCCTTTTTTTATTATTTTTTAATGCTGTTAGGATTGGATATTTTATCTCTATGAAGTCTGCCTTGATCATTATTTGTTGATCAGATTTGACAATTTTCAGCTGTTATTTAATTATTTATCTCATTTGAGCCTTATTACATCTCAATCCTCAGATAAATTAACATTTTAAAAACTCCACTTAAGACTTTTATATGGTATAATGTACTATGTTATGGAACCTCACTAACTTAACATTATAAGAAAGATACCTACTAAAGGCAGTATGCATTTCTCTCCCTTTCAGAAAATTATTCTTATTCAGAAAGAAAAGAAATGGCTGACATAAGTTTACAAAATGGAGATAGAATATGAGCAATATCTGACTATTGATAATGATCTTATAATTGCATGACTAATAAAGGAGTCAGGCACAGAACAGTTGTGTAAATACCCCTTTTGGGTCAGAAAGCTCAGAAAAATAATTTTAGATCCTGAGCTATAACATAGCTTTACAAATCATAGATAAAATGTTTAAAAAATTTCTGTTTCAAGATGACGCAGAAGTAGTTTTGAAACATTTATGCAGCATTTAAAGCAGCTTATATTTAAATAAAAAAATCTGCGCCTGAATATATTGTGTGTAAAAGATTTAAAAACTGATTTGATTGTATAGTTTGACTGTGGCAGCCGTGACCATGAGCACAAACATGCATGTATTCAAAGATTGAATATTATAATAATAAAACGGGCTTGATTCTTTTGAAGGCAGAAAATTACTTTTAAAGTAATCTAAAATGATATCTGGATCATCATTTTTTAATAACTGTTTAATTATATTGTGGTTTAATTTTATGGATTTATTTATTTATATATTGGTAAAAATACAAATTACTGTTATTGTATAGTAAATAACTGTTACTGTGTAATAAATATTTAATTGTATAATTTTCCTTATTCTATCATTCCAATGAATTATAATAATTTTTCAGTAAATAAATAACTTTTATGATTGTACTATAATTCATAATCATTATATATCTTCTTTTATCTTTGATCTAAAATGTATGTATATTATTATATGCTTAAGAAAAAAAAGAAAAAGAAAAAAAAAAAAGAAATTTCTGTAACCCCACAGACAGCTTTTAAGTGTGCTGCCTAGTGGCTGCCAGAGGGAATACAGTGTTTTTTAAATAATAGGCAAACAGTAAATGAAAAGTAGCCACGACAAGACAGAATTCAGAAAATGGGAAATGGGAACAGTAAGCAAAGGTTTAAAAAAAGATTTTTAGGAAAACAGTAACTGACTTAAACATAGGAGGAAAAACAACATTGATGATAAATGTTAGTGGTAGGACAGGCGCTGTGTGAATGTTTTGTCTTCTATTTATGGGCTTTTATAAGTCTGGTAATTTTTTCTTTTTATGATATGAATAACAAAACGTGAATGCATTTTAGCAGTAAAATTTTCTATTATAATAATAATATGCATACCTTTAGTGTAATGCTAGTTTTAAAAGGAAAAAAAAAATAAAATATTTCAGAAGCTAATCATGCTTAGAATTATCGCACTCTGGTTATAAATCAGCAAATCAACACGAGAACCGAATGATTTGTCTGGTTGAGAACAACCAGTGTTTAAGACTTCAAGACATTGACTCATATTCTTTTGCAGGTTTTTAGTTAGTACTTGTACCAGTGAAATCTTCATCCAAAGATTATCTTGGAGATATATGAAGTTTCAGTTTCAAATTCACCTGAAGATAATAGACAGTGAACTTTTCAACAGTAAAGTATGATAACATGGCATTTTTAGGACTAGCCAGAAAAAAAGATCTAGAAGTACTAGCCACAGAACTGGGTCTGCCCGTCTCAGATAATATGAAAGTGATTTGACTCAAGTAGTTAATCATAAACCCAGACAAGTACAAAGAAGTATTCATAAGGAATATATTTATCAGCATAATTGACGAAAGAAAATTGGTTGAACATGCATCTGAAAATGATAAGTTAGTATAGTTGAAAAAGAAAAAGTTTTGTATGAAGAATAAGCATTGAAAAAAACTTTTGCATGAAGAAAATATTGCAGAAGATGGAAGAACCAAAAAGAAACACTTTTTTTTAGTTGGGAGAAAAAAAAAACTTCAACTGGAGTTACAAAAATTTCTGAAAAGAGGTGACAGGTCAGAAAATAGAGCAACCCCAAATGGATATTATTAGAGCTGTCCTTAAATTTAACCCTTTTAACAATTTTAAATGTCAATTAAAATTTTTAAGTATTCCATAATCAGAATGGATTTTTATCTGATCTGTTTATTACCAACAGAAATTGTACAACTTATTACTAGAAAAAGAATCTCTAGATTACCAAAAAAATTAAGGAAATGCTTCTTAAGCGATGCAGGTTAATTGCTCACTGTTTCAGACAGGGTTCCCCCCCCCAAACGCAAGAAAAGCCCAAATACAACTTAGATTTCTACTAACAGAGAAAAGGAACCATCTGATGTTATGAGTGTGGAACTCCTAGATCAGGGGTCGGCAACCTTTTTTGGCCGCGGGTCAAAATCGACCAAAATGCGAGTATTAAAGAGACGTTTGGGTCAGAGATATTTTCGTATTAAAACAGTATTTTAGTAAATAATAAGATATATTTTATTAAGAAAATAATTACAAACATAGTTGAATAAACTTTATTTATAAACTTTCTCTACGATATCAATGGCTCCCCTAATGTTGAACTTGTGACGTCAATTTAGTCAAGTCTGATTTATAGTTAGTCGCTTTAAGAAGTCGAACACAAGCATCTGAAATTTTCAATAGTTAACCTGCTCCTGTTTTTGCTTAAAATAAATTTCATTTGTGAAAATATTTGCTCACAATTTATAAGTGGAACCCGAATGTGGACAAAATGGCAAAGGCAATTTTTTTAATGATGAAAATCATCGTAGGAAGTGATGCCCAACATGTTGATATCATGAGAAAATGATTATCTTCTGTATTTTGTTTTTCCAAATCGTTCCGCAATTTCTTGAATTTATACAGTCCATAATGTTGAACTTTTAAAATCAATCATTTCTAAACTAAAATTGTCAATTCTTAGATATTCAAAATACTGCAAATTTATAATATTTTCTTCTATTTCATCGGGCTTTATTATAAATGTAAACATTTCTCCATGTTTCTTAAGACTTTGAAACCGACTTTAATATTCACTTTTAATGACCGAAATCCAAGTTTCGAACATATTTAGATTGCGTTCATCATCGATATTTTCTTTTTCATGTTCCCTTTTTAACAGGGAAAGAAATGAATTTTTTTAGTTTTTATGTCAGTTTCAAATAATATATCAATTTTGAAGTAAAACTCTTCCATTCCTCATACATTTTCAAAATTGTGTGGTTATTTATTTCCTCAGAGTCGTACGTTTGAAATCATTATAATGGTTCATTATGTCTGTTAAGAACAAAAGTCTTAAAAACCATTGTTTATCATTGAGTTCGAGATCATTTTCACCACCGATTTTGTGAAGAAATATTTGTATATCATCAAAACACTCTACAAATCTATTAAGAAATAAGAACTTTGCCCCGACTTAACCATCGTATTTCAGAATGTAATAACAAATCTCCATATTTTTCCGATTCAGTTTCCTCCTTTTCCTCAAAAAACAAAAAAGCTTTAAAGCGCCTGTGTTATTAATGCTGATCGCACTATTATCATGTTTACGATCTTAACAACTTTTTCCATTACATCCCATCCTTAAGTTGTGGTGTAGATGCCTTTGCAAATAAATTTTCTTCGTGTATGATACAATGAAACGATAAAAGTGAACGGCCAAGTTCATTTTCCATTAGTTTTTACAAATCCAACAATCCAACAGTTTTTCTTCTCATACTTGGAGCACCGTCAGTTGTTATGGAAAACAATTTACTTTTTAAATCCAATACTTGCCCATTTTTGAAATTTGTAAACTCTTGTACTTGATGAAAAATATCAGTGCCTTTGGTGGTGTCATTCATTGAAGCAAGAATGCATAGTTCTTTATTGACATTCGAGCTATTTATTGATGCAAATCTAATAATTATTGCAAGCCTACCAATACTATTTATGTCGGTACTTTTGACAACTGCAATGCTAATTATGTCACAAGATAACAAATCATTTTTTACCTGTTCAATATTCTTCGCCATATCTTTAACGTGATGCTGGACTGTTCTAGCTGACAATGGAATTTCTTTGATTCTCTAAATTATTTGTTTTTTATTTTCAAAGTCATTAAATA